CGCGCCGCTTCCCCCCCCCCGTGGCGGCCGACGCGCCGTCGGCCCCGCCCACGCAGCGGGCCTCCGCCTGCCGCGCCGCGGCGGCCTGGGCCACCGCCTCCCGGCGCGCCCCCGCGGCCAGCGCCGCCACGGCGCGGGCGCTCGTCGGGACCACGACGGTGGCCTGCGGGCGGCGCGGGCGGCGCGGGGAGGGGGGCCAGCCGATCGTTGGAGGCCTAGAGATTGGCACCAGCACCAACACCGGGGGTTGCCTCCACATGGGGAAGATGATCCTAGATTTCGGTGCTGGCGGCAATACTTCGGTCACCTTGGAGGCCAGAATATTACAACCATCACCGAGACCGGGATCTTCTTCCCTCGGTGGAGGCACACCGCTGGTATTGGTGTTGGTGTCAACCTCTAGACCTGCGACGCGATCAGCAATACTCCAAATCCCTTCTTAGTCGACCCCCCTCCCCGTAAAGACCAGAGACCCCCCTCCAAAAATGCGACCTGCTTTGCCGGACCCCCCTCTCCGACGGGGCGCCCTCCTGAACCGGGGCCCCTGAGCTTCTCCAAAGAAGGCGCCCCAATAGACTGACCCCCCCCCGGTTACAAAAAACGGCGCCTTCAAAAACCGGACCCGGGGGACGATGACTAAGGCATTTGGAGCAAGAACGCCCCTAATATTTGGGGGGGGACCCAAGCTGGGAGGGCCAAGCGCATCAGGGACAGGGTGTTTTCTCCTTTGAAGGAGCCCTGGGACACACAAATAAATAGACACAAATTTCAGGATTCCCCATATTTTGCCATATTTTCTGGGTTTTGTCTTCCCGCACACTTCCCATATCTTCCCATATTTTCTGGGGAATCGACGATGAATTGTGTTTGTGTGTGTGCTTTTTCTCCTCCTGATTCTTCCGCGGATGCCACTGGCGAAGCCACCCACACATGTTCGGGGAGAGCCCCCCAAAAGAACCGAGGATCCGAGCCAGGCCACGAATTGGATTCAGTGCCTCGTTGGGGTCGAGGCCCTATCCTGCCCCACGACTCCGCCCGAGGACCCGGCGCCGCTTCCCAATTTCGCCGGCTCCCGCCGGCCTACAATCGGGGCGTTGGCCCAAGGAACCCTGAAGAAGGAACGAGGCCCCTCGAAGCCGGACCCGGCGGAAAAAACCTCCGAGGACCGCTTGCTTCTGAAGCCAGATCCGGCCTGAAAAACCCCCGAAGACTGCGTGTCTTTGGCAAAACATTGGAGCCGGATATCCGGCGAACAGAAACCTCCGTTCGAACCGCGTGTTTCTGAAGCCGGATCCGGCTTCAAAACCCAGAGATCCGATGTCTTGCTTTTCTCAGTACGGGGTCCCGGGAAGTCTCGACCCATTCCCCCCAAGACCGGCTTGGCGTCCTGCGTCGTCTTGTTGACGGTCCTGGGGCCCGGCGAGGGCCGCCAGAGGCCGAACATCGAGAAAAACCTCCGTCCTGATTATTTCAATGCGTCGAACTAGGTCTGGGGCCACGCCGGTCTCTCGAGCCGGACCCGGCCTCAAGAGCACGCGCGGCTCTCTGGGGCTCCCGGGCGGCCCAGGCCTCGCGCGGCGCCGTGCGGGCCAGGCCCGTGGAGAAGGGAGGAGGGAGGGAGGGAGGGAGGGAGGGAGGGAGCGAGGGAGGGAGGGAGGGAGGGAGGAGGGAGGAGGAGGAGGAGGAGGAGGAGGAGGAGGAGGCCTTCTCAGAGCCCAAGGCCCCCTCGAGCACCGAAAAAAAACACGACGGGAGGTTTTGCGCCGCGCTCGGCCCGGGAGTGCCCTTCCAGGGCCCCGGGGGCCGTCCCCACACGCCTCGGGATGGAAGAAGCCGGTCCCGGGGCACAGGGTTCGGAGACCTCGGGGGGGCGACTTAGTGAACAAGGTCGTGACCGTAGGGGGTCTGGGACGGCGGTTGGGTTTCTCCGAAGCCCTCGGGCCGTCTGAGACGTCAGGAGGCCGGGGGCGCTCCCGAGCCCTCCGAGAAGGCCCACCCCGTCTCGCTTCCCCCTCTGGGCCTCGCCGCCGATCAGAGGGGAGGGCAGGGGGCAAACGAAAAGGTACTGATGCCGCTGCCTTTACCAAGACTTCAAGGCGGGTCCACCCGTGGCAACGAGGGCCTCCCAGGAGGCCCAAGAAGGCGAAAACGAAGGAAAGGTAGCGGTATTGGCACCGTCGGGGACGATCCCAGGTAAGGACCCGAACTCTGTACACCGACGCCTTTTCCGGCCCCGCACTGGAACTCGCACAAGAGAGCGGATCCTGGTGTATACGTACGTGATCCTAGTGTATACATTTGCCGTTGCTTCCCCGGGAAAACGTGGAAAAAATACACCACATCACCCCGACGTCGCCCCTGACCCTCAAAAAAAAGTCCTGGGATTCAAGAACAGCCCGCCACTGATATGTAAATTTTCCAGTTTCCGAAAAGGGTGCTGCGAAGCTACGTAGTCGACGATGGACCCCTTGTTACCCACCAGTCCTGGGCGGCATTCGGCGGTCGTCTGACGACCTTGGGTCGGGCGGTCTTCGGAGGGTTCCTGCAGTGTTCGGCGCGAAAGCTGGATGGTTGCGGTTAGCACAGAGTCCATGATCGAACACCGAGGCGAAGCAGTGGACCGGGTCTTGTGTGCAAGGCAGGGAGTAGCTACCCGAATCTCCGACAATCATAATTTTGTCACAACCATCCTGTGGTGTTGGGTCCTCGTTTTGAAGATACAGCGTCCCGCGTCCCACCTCTCCTCTGCCCCCTCCTCCCATCCTTGCCTCTACCCTCCGCACGTCAATCACTTCGGCACACCCCTCACACGTTCCATGGCCCCATAGAGAGCTCCACCTAAGGCCAAAGAGGCAAAAGAGGGAGCGTTCGCATGTGGGCGTCACGCCCGTTTCGGCACACCCGCCACGCGCATAGTGGCCCCATGAGGAGCTCCACCGAAGGCCCCAGAGGGAGCGTTCGAAATTGGGCCTGTTTCGGCACACCCCTAACGCGCTTCGTGGCACAAAAAAGGGCTTTGCCGAAGGTCCCGACGGCACGGTCCGCATGCGCGAACCTCCCATTTCGGCATGCCCATCGCGCGCTTCGTGGCCCCATGGGAAAATCCACCGAAGATCATACTCACAGCTGCGGCACCCACAACTGCATATGGCTGGGCCCGTCGCCGGAATAATTTCAATCCTCTCGCGTTTCTTCGATTTCAGCCTCGGGGTGCCGTCGGGTGGGCCCCGGGACCATCAAAATGGATCCCCCAGGGAAGCGGCCGGAACCTATTGGCCCAGAAACCTTCGGCACGACTGCGTTGGAATGTCGAGCACTGGCCCCGTGGAGCCTCGGCTTGTTCTCACGCAGGCCCCGCAAGTGGTGTCGGGAGGCCACCGCACCGCGCCGGCGCCGCACGCCGCCCGGGCACAGTGCGCAGCAGCAGCGGCGTGGGGTCCACGTGCCGGCCAGGGTCAGATGGGCTCTGACCCCGGCCGAGGCCCGCGAGTCGGACGGAGCGGGGTCGCGGCCGGGGCGGGCGTGCCGCATCGCATCGTATCGGATCGCAGGCGGCCCCGGCTGGTCCTCCAGACAGGCTTGTGCTGGTGGGGCCATGGGGGTGCAGTCGAAGAGGCAGACGGCCAGCGGCCTCGCGCAAGCGCGACCACAGTTCACGTGACAGTGGCCTCGCCCAGAACTCTTGCTCGGCGCGTGGGACTCGAGCATCACGCCCGCGGGGCACTCCCACTCACTGATATCTGGGAGGGAGCAGCCCGCGGATGCCTGATTACCGCCAGAGACAGCACGTCCCAAGGGAAAAAAAAAAAAAAAATGCATCATACCGCTGAGGACTGGCTGCAGAACATGAGCGGAAGATTTCTGTCCACCGACATGGCCGCAGGGAGTTCCGCCGCGTCAGCCCATTCCACCAGAGCCAGAAACAACATTCGGCGGTGGACAAACCTCCCTTTAGTAAACCTCCCCTTAGTGAAAACGGCCTGGGACCGAAACCGACGGACCTGGACCCGCAAAATGACGGTCGCGACGCCCTCTCGCGAACCGACAAAGGCCCATTCCTTAACCGACGTGTCAGGGTAGGAGGTCTATCCACCTCCGGAAACAACATCTCAGGGAACCCACGAGGCATAACATCAGCGGCCCTGCGACCGGGGCGCGCCCACGCAGGCCGCGCGCCCCCACGGCACACACGAAGGGACGGGCAGCCCCGGCAAGCCTGGGACAGCCCCGTCGCCCTGCCCACGTTTTTTGTTTTTATATATATACATATATGTGTATATAAATAAGAATAATAATAATACTAATAATAATAATAATAATAATAATAATAATAATAATAATAATAATAAACATAATAATAATAATAATAATAATAATATCTAAAAAAAAATCGCACCAGTGCATGTATTCACCCGGTCTATGCAAAAAGAAAGACACACCCATGCGCCGAAGTCTCTGGCCAAGAGGGGAAAACCCGCACGGGACATCCGATGCTGAGGCACATGGTTGCAGGTGGCTGCGTTGCTCCGGCTCTTGGAAGCACCGCTTTGCATATGTGTTCCAAGGGAGACGGAAGCAGCGCCCACGGCGCCCTGGGGGGGGCGCGAGTGATGATGCCCTGCGCGCTTTCTCGCAGGGAGCTTGGCTCCTTCAGGACTCGGCCAACGTTGGAAGAAAAACATGCCGGTGCATGAATGCCCCTCCCCGAGAACGGAGTTCCGCGGAGAACCTGCGAAAGCATGGTGGAAGAAGGGCCACGGGCCAGGGAGTGAAGGGCGAGGCCGAGGGGGGGGGGTGCGAGAGAAAGGGCGAGGGTGAACGCGGAGGTGGGCGAGCGATGGTGGGGTGGAACAGGAGAGGGGAAAGGGGGGAGGGGGGAGGAGGGAGGAGCAGGAGACGACGACGACGACGACGACGACGACGAAGACGACGACGACGACGACGACGACGACGACGACGACGACGACGGGCGGCGGCGCAGACGACGGGCCCCGGCGTGC